TCTTTCGTTTCCGCTCTCCCATCATGTGAGAAGTGTGCCTGAAGCGAATTTACCTCTATGTTAAGCTGAGCAGTGTGCGGTGCATTTTAGGAACATCTGAATTATTCAGGCAGAACTATTTTTCTTCTACGATCCATATAACACTTCAAGCTTGCTGTTTTCCCTCTTTTTACTGTAAGAAAGTAGGTTTGAGCATTTGCTACTGAAAACCCACGAAAACCTGACACAAAAAGGAAGCCGCCACAAATCTGTATAGTTTCTAAAAACAGACTGACAGGAAAGAAAAGTTAATATTGCCTGTGACAGACAGACGAGGAGTAAGATTTATTTTGCCTTGAAAGGTAGACACACAGTAGATGTGCTGCCAGGTAAAAAGCCGGTGGTGTAGTGGCTAATAGGCCGCGCTCATTTTATCTTAAAACGGTTGGTTCGATTCCCTCCAGCCTAACTGGTCCATTTGCAGAAGGGGGCTTCGCTCACGATAGCATCTGTTATGATATGCAAGTGATCAAATCCCCAGCGTTGCTCGGAGCAGACTGGGATGTATATTTTCAGTAACTTCTTTCATGATACTAAGTTATACTGCAAGGGATATTTCTTATCCTGAAAAAAAAAACAACTTGCTAAACTTTGCTCAACCATTATCTAATGTAGAAATTTTACCAGCTCCGTTTTGTTGTCCATGTAGCCGAGTAGTGCCCCCTCCGGGCGATCCTTCCACAGAATGGGCCATGAATCGCCACAGTGCACTATTTGTCGAATTTCAGTTTTTTCAAATCGATCCTTGTATTTAATCCATTCATACCAAAATCCAAGCGTGTTATGGTCGCCCTTATACTGGAGCACCTGAACAACACAAAAGGTCATTTATCAATTCCGATTACTTTTTTAAACGTTTGTTTCATGAGCGAAATTTAAAATTTCAGCTGCATCACAGACAAGAAAAAGCGCGACGATGAAACAACAGCTGATCAAAATATGAAATTAGTATGATTTAATTTTGTGCGCATAATTACTATCAGGACCATTTAATGTTAGTGAGGCAGTTTTGAGATATCGAACGCAGCTATATCAAGCTTCGTTTCATCAGTGCCTCTTTCCAGTTAGTTATACGCCGTCACCAAAGGTATTTTACGAAGAGATGGCATACATATATGGAACAGGTATTGAGTACTAGTTGGTAGTATTTAGTCCAGTTTCGAAGGGTCCGACACAGCTGTACCCCGGCTATGAAAGTATTCCAATAAGATCTATCGTCTGGGACAGTCCCACTGATATTCGTAAAAACAGAACAAAAATTTCTTTTGTAGACACCTTAGTAAGACTTTTTTGAAATAAGAAGGTATATTAACAGGAAGGTACATTAAAGGCAGATGAAAAGAGATGAACAGAAGGGAAGGTAAGAGATGAGAATTACAAAACTTGTAAATTAATAAAATTTTTTTAATGGCAAAAAATGGTTCGGTCTGTTAAGCCGTATGCATTTCTTGCCATTGCCACAATTGGACCTCGACACTATAACGATTGTGGTAATTAGGATTACTAAACATTGAGATTAAATCGCGTAATGAATGTTAATAGTATGTATATATATTTTGTAAAATGTTCTTACTTATAAAATGTTCTTATATTAAAAACTTTTTTCAAGCCAAGCAACTTATTTCCTAAACTGACCCGTTGCTTTGAATCAAATGGTAATTATTAGAGGCGCATGATTCAAGACACTGGAAATATAGTAATTTCGAGTACACACAAGATGCGTTTCTGTTGCTAGAATGAAGTACCGGAGTGAAGAAGCGAATGAGAAACCTGAATCTGACCGCCAAGATCTTTGACACCAAACAACTCGGCTGTCTTGTAAGGGAACGAGCACTCCAGAACGCCACCGTTGTTCCATGCACGACCGTGCATCGGCACGCCATATTTATACCACAAGGCCACGTACATATTCTGTTGGCCAAGCGCTCGAACCGGATTATCCGGGAACGGCGAACCGATTGGACCGAACGCCCATTCGTCTTCTTTCGGTGGTGGATTGCCCATCCTTACAGCTCCGAACTGAGTACAATAACTAGATTTTGCGGAAGTCTTCCCCTTTTATTACGTTACATTTTTGGTATTAAATTGCATATGCAAATTTTCGAGCAATTCCTATTGAAAAACCGGCGTCGCTGTGCTCAGGCATCATTGAAAACACCAAATTCTTACATACTGGTGTTTGGACGGTCTCGATATTCTTGATACGTGCAAATTTTAGTAAATATGCAAGTTCTCAGATTTCCATATTCGACTGCAAATTTTGTCGTGTAAGAATATTGTAAGAATATTCTGACAAAAGATCTATGTATTTCAACTTGACAGACAAGTGAGCTTCGGCGCCAAAATTTTGCCAGTGGGTTCTCGCTGTGGTACCAACCTTCACGTAAGTCAGGGGACCGCGTACGAGTGCATGAAAGTTTTGGTGGGAAAATCGCCAACTTGGGAACCAGAAAAGCTAGAAAGCTGAAATTTTGCGGTTATGTTCCCAGTCCATATAGGACTCAAATATTTCAAATTCAACCTCCAAGTGCTCGTGGCTGTCATGTACGGCCCGTGAAGTTTCTGGCGGGAAAATCAGGGAAGCTGGGAGGCTGAAATTTCAAGGGGATTTTCCCGACAATGCATAACTTAAAAAATTGCAAACTGAGGACCTAGTAGTACATATTTCTCATGTGCAGCCTCGTGAAAATTTTTGGTGAGCCGGGAACCAGAAAAGCTAGAAAGCTGAAATTTTGAGAGAATATTCCTTGACCAAGTACCAAATAGTTGCACAGTAGACTCCCTGAGCTTCGGGCATCAGTCTGTCCTAAATTTTAACTGCTGGGACTCCAAGCGATATTACTACAGCTTGAAGTACTGCAAAAATGCATGACCGTACGGGCCTGCCTGATGCGCGTCGCCGGCGATTGCATTTGCATATGCAAAAAAATAATTTGTTATGCAAAAAAAAAACGCACAATAAAGAAATTTGTTTGTTTGCTATGCAGAAACCGTAAGAAAGGAATAATTTTACTGTCGGATTTTTTCCATTTGCATATGCACAAAAAACTACGACAAAAGTAGGTATAAAAGACAGCTCGGAAAGAAAAAGTTCGCAGTCAATGAGTATCAGGCGCAGCAGCGTGCATGATGAACCTTCCGCTTCTTCTTTTCACGGTCTTTTTTCGAGAAAGCAGTACTGTTCCACCGCTCACTATAAGACAACTTCTGAGTGACAACACTGTAAGTGAAATGGCTTTTCGCAGTTCGTCAAGTTTGCGTTTAATCAAATATTGAACTCGACGGAGTCAAAATTTTTTCA